AGAGAATTGAAATAAAGGTTCACACAGACTTGTGAAAAGAACAAGAGAACTTTATTCAAAGCAAACCTATAGGGCAGGTCAGACCCTCTGAAAGGGGTGCCAGCGGGCCACATGAGTCAAGATATTCAAGGATCCCAATTATTGTTTGGGGTTTCCCTTTGTGGGAGTCAAGAGAAGACCTTTTGCTAAGAGGTCATAGAGAGGGTGATTCTCTTTTGATTGACACATTGAGTCATAATTCATAACTCAATCCAAGTCAAGTCCCAGGCTGCTAAAGTATGCCCTATGCCTGCCTGCTCATAGGTGTATGTTGGTCATAGTTTTAAAATCTTGATAGTTTTTCTCTGAAACATGAAACCATATATAAGACTGGTAAGTGGAAAATTTTGGGAAAGATTAAAACTGAAGATTGATTGGGTCAGAACTGTGAAGTCAGAGAGAGTCTGACCACTGGCCCACTGCATTCCTCTCAGCAATGCTAATCACTGCCCCGAGAAAAGATGGAGGCGTATGATTCCACAGAGGGGGAGTAGAGGTCTCACCGGTGAAACTCACTGTGAAGCTATAGGAAGCCGACTGCCCGAGAGAGACATTTTCCTCAGTGGCGTAGCCGCTAGATGGTTGCCCACAGTCCTGTGACTAACCCCTCGCTCAGAAGGGGCTCTAGGGAACAGGAAGGGGACCAGCAAAACATGGAGTGAGGTAAGAAAGGATAGTGAGGGTGAGTGAATATGATACAAATATATACATTGCTGAAAATGCTGTAATCTGTTGTGATATATAATGAATATATGCTAATATTTTTTCAATGCAGAGTAAGTTTTCTTTAATTAAAAAAAATGGTGTGGGCTGAAGTATATGGACCAAGTTCATATTTCAATCTTTTTGAGGTGCTAGGATCCAGCATACTTTGCCCATGCTAGGCATGCTCTCTGCCCTGAGATAACATTCCAGACTTTTTTTTTTTGTCACTATCATAATGGTCTGAATACAAATGGCCCTCGTAGGCCCATAAGGAGTGGCACTATTAGGAGGTGTGATCTTGTTGGAGTAGGTTGACCTTGTTGGAGAAAGTGTGTCCCTAGGTGGTGGTCTTTGAGGTTTCAGAAGCTCAAGCCAAGCCTAGCGGCCCTCTTCCTCTTCCTGTTGCCTGCAGATCCAGATGTAGAACCCCCAGCTCCTTCTCCAGCACCGCATCTGCCTGCATGCCACCATGCTTCCCGCCATGGTGATAATGGACTAAATGTCTGAAGTGTAAGCTTGCCCCAGTTCATTGCTTTCCTTTATAAGTGTTGTCATGTTCACGTGTCTCTCCGCAGCAATAAAACCCTAACTAACACACAACGTCTCACCAGGTTTGCCACTCAGCCCTTGAAACCTCCCATTCTATCCTCCCGAGGATCTGGGATTACAGCCTGATCCACCAGGCCTTACTCAAGGATGAGTTTGGAAATAACTTTTCTTTTCTTTTCATAAAAAAGCATCAGAGACCAGGAGGGTAAACAGCAGACAGCTGTGTTCTCATAGTTCAGGATGCTAAGCCATGGAAAGAGGAAAGGGCAGGGTCAGCTTCACAGGCACCCCTTTAGGTATCCAGGCTCCAGGCTTCCCCTTGTGACTCCGCCCTGTGTCCATCAGACCTGATTTTGTCTTACATGGCGCCAGTCTTATGGACAAGTTGAGGCCAAACACCCTAATTTTTACTTGGCCTCTTTGTGGGGGTGCCTATCTCCAGATATAATCACACACTAGGGAACTGGAGGTTAGCACTTCAACGTGTGCATTTGTTAAGTGGGAGAAGGAATTCACTCTGTAAAATGGACCATTTATCATCTTCGATTCAAAAGGAAGAAATTATCTGAAACTACATTGAAAATGTAAACTGAGGAGGTTACCTCATTAGCAAGTAGAAGTTAGTTATTTGGCAAATGAAGAGATAGTCCACTTGGTGTAATCTCAGCAGCGTCGAGTAGAATGTATCAAAAGAAAGGAAGGAAGGAAGGAAGGAAGGAAGGAAGGAAGGAAGGAAGGAAGGAAGGAAGGAAAGAAGGAGAAGGAAGGAAGAAAGGAAGGAAGGAAGGAAGGAAGGAAGAAAGAAAGAAAGAAAGAAAGAAAGAAAGAAAGAAAGAAAGAAAGAAAGAAAGAAGGAAGAAGTAAAGGAAAGAAAAGAAAAAGACCAGCCTTGTTTCCCACCGGTCTTGTCTTCCATGGAGAAATGTTTGAACTGATAAAGGCACATAATGGAAGTCCATCTTGATTTAAACCTTTGTTTTCTGGGTAAAACACTTCTCTCTACTGTTTAAGTGTTTAGAGATTCTTGGTTCTTCTGAACTCCCTCAACAGACATTTGACACTTCCTGAAGAAAGCCTTTTCAGGGAGCCTATAGCCTGGTGAGAACCTTGGGTTTTGCTTTCACCTCCAGTCCTGAGGTCAGGAACACACTGTTAAAACGAAACAGTGCCCTCAAAGATAGTTGTTTTCTAAAGCTCTGTAGTATTTGATCATTACTCAGTCTCTAGTGAGCTGATGAGGGCTGCTGCTCAGGTTTCCTCTGTGACGGCCTGTGAAATGAGGCCTGGGGATTATTGACCAGAGAGTGATTAGGAACTTGCTGTGCTCTAATGTAAGTTTTCTGTTTTGTTTGTTAACCCCTACACAATTCAAAAATTATCAATACATATCTAGCAGTTAAACCATGTGCTGGTTTATGCTTTCTTTAAATTTATTTATTTATTTATTTATTTATTTATTTATTTATTTATTTATTTATTTATCGGTTTTTCTAAGACGGAGTTTTTATCTGTAACCACCTGCCTGTCCTAGAACTCATTCTCTAGACCAGGCTGGCCTCGAACTCACAGAGATCCACCTTCTTCTGCCTCCCAAGTGCCAAGATTTAAAAAAAAAAAAAAAACAGGTGGTGGTGGCACAGACCTTTAACCCCAGCACTCAGGAGGCAGAGAGAGGAGGATCTCTGTGAGTTCGAGGCCAGCCTGGTCTACACAGAGAGTTCCATAACTGGCTCCTTAGCTACTGAGAAACGCTGTCTCAAAATGAAGAAGAAGGAGGAGGAGGAAAAGGAGGAGGAAGATGAGGAGGAGGAAGAGGAAGAGGAGGAGGAAGAAGAAGAAGTAGTGTGTGTGCTGCCACTGCCCAGCTATGGCTTATGTTTATAAGTCCCAGCATGTCAGAGGCTAAGGCAGAAGGGCTGCTATGAATTCAAATCGAGTCTGGGCTATAATGTAAGACCCTGTCTCCCTCCTCTTCTCTCTATCTCTCTCTCTCTCTCTCTCTCTCTCTCTCTCACACACACACACACACGCACACACACACACACACACACACACAAAGGAAAAAAATTCAACAAACTTAACCATAAATCCATTTCCTTGAAAAACTATTGCACCATTTAATATGGCAAAAGCTACATTTCATAACAATTCACCCCACTTGATACTTTATTCTCCAGAAAGAGAATCATCTTGCAGTAACACCAGTCATTTTAGGTGCATGGGGGGCCCACCTATCCTGCAGTAACACAGTCATCGTAGGTGCACAAGGGTGCTCACCCATAAGACATCCTACTGGGAGACATCTCCGGATTAAATTGTGCTGTGCAGGTTGCATTTGAATGTAAAATGCAGAGATTCGGAGGAGAGTGGCTCAAGTCTCCCTGAAAATAAGGAAGAGATGAGTCAGAGAATGCATGGTTTTTGCTTGAGGTCAGAGACATGGTTTCTCTGTGTAGCCCTGGCTGTCCTAAAACTTGCTTTGTAGACCAGGACTGGCCTCAAACTCACAGAGATCCATCTGCCTTTGCCTCCCAAGTTATAGGATTAAAGGATGCACCACCAAGGCCAAGATGAGAGTAACTCTCTTTAGGAGAAGTATGAAATATGATAGGAGCACACAAGAGAAAGAGAAGTCACCAAGACATCCAAGACAGCGAGGAGGCCAAGGGAAGGCTCACAAATGCGAGAGGCTTCACACTGGGATTTGACAGGCAGGCTTAGGATCAGAACATTTGAAGAGAAGACGTTCAAAGTTAGGTTAGGGTTAGTAAAGGAAGATCTAAGTATAAGGATGTGGCCAGGAACGAGTGGGACGTGACTTAGGGAACATGAGGGGGGTCTTGTGGGGGATAAGTCAGAAAGATAGAGCCACATCTTGCATTGTCTTTTCTTGGATATTGTCTGAAAACCTGGGGGCCCATTCCTCAGATAAGATGAAACGAGTCATGGTTCGTGGGCTAGAGCGGGACCTTATCGTTGTTCTATTAAAGACAGAATGCTTGGATGGCGTTTTGAATGATCAATATTCCAAAGATGAGGAACACTGTTAGAGGTAGGCAAATCAGCAGGGTAGGAATGCTGCAGTGATCTGGGAATGGAGAGCAGAGCCCTAAAGGGCTGGAGGAGGATAAGAAGTCAAAGCAAGGATAGGAAGAGCTTTTTCTGTGTGTGTGTGTGTGTGTGTGTGTGTGTGTGTGTGTGTGTGTGTGTAAAAGCACAGTCCAGGAGGCTGACCCCGAACTCTAAAGCACAGATCCTGCCTCAGCCTCCCAACTGCTGGGATTATAGGCCTGAGCCACCATGCCTGGCCAATGTGTAGCCCAGGCTGGCCTCGAACTCATGATCCTCCTGCCTCTGCCTCCCTCAGCAAATCCTACCAGCGTATACCACCACATGCTGAGTGGTGGTGGCGTACGCCTTTGATCCCAGCACTCAGGTGGCAGAGGCAGGAGGATCTCTGTGGAATCTGAGGCCAGCCTGGTCCACAGAGTGAGTTCCAGGACAGTCAAAGCAACACAGAGAAACCCTGTCTTGAGAAACCAACAACCAAAACCCAAAATGAAAGGGTGAAGGGCACAGCCCTGCTGCTCACGGAACAGTGTGATAACCTCTAGAAGGGTTCTAACCCCAATGGCCTGGAAGGTTGGCTTTGTGACATGTAAGAACCCTACATTCCAGAGAAGACCATCGGCCTCCAGAGAAGACCATCGGCCCCCGAGTGTAAGGGTGTGGGAGAGCTTTAGCCAGAGCTGTGCCGATTTCAGAAGCGAGTACCTCTCTCCCTCCCCAATTTATATCAGCAGAAAGAAGCATGATAAGAACTACTGACCACAATACTACAGGTTGTTGCTGAGACGCCAGTGTGGAGACGCAGGGATCCTGAACACGGAGTTCCTGCTCAGCAGCTACAGGGCACTCAAGGCCTGCTCGTCGGTCTCCTAACAGAGCTTTAGTTTTGACTCCCGGGACAGAAAAGATAAAACAAGAATTTGATCTAAAATTCCGCATAATACCATGAGTCCGATAGGAACGGAAAGGAAGCAAGATCAGGGGAAGTCATTGTACGGAAGATAGAGTTGCACGATAAGAAAAAACACTAAATGACTGTGAAGCTCTGGTCATTTGCTGAGTTCTGAGAACGTTGGTGTGAGTGTAGCCAAAGGAAGCAAGCAGACAGACAAATGCAGGTCTGTTGTTGGCCATACTGTGGCAAGAGTGGCAGTTGGTGAGACGGTCTGCAGCCCAGGAAGAACTGCAGTTGTGAAACAGGAATCCCACGCGCCTGGCATCTAACTAGTAAGTCGATTCTCACTTAATTGATAAGTTTGACTTATTAATTATCCTCCCGCCTATATTTGCATGATTAAACCTTATCGCAACCCCATGACTTCCACACTTTTATTGTTTCAGCTTTTTAAACGGGCCACACAGAAAAGTTCAGCAGCAAGTCCCCCCTCATACACCACCGTGTGGCTGCACTCATAGTTTAGGCAGAGTCCCATCACATCCAGGACACAGATGCCGTTTGTATGGCCCATACGTTTGGAGGCGGGGAGAAGGAAAGGCTGCTTGGTTTGTTGGTTTGGTTTTGTTTGGTTTAAATTTTTCTTTTCTTCTTGAGAAGCTATATAATGTCTACCACCTCTGAAACCTTTTTCCTCCAACTCCCCCCAGGCCCCTCAACTCCCCCTGAGGCAACTCCCCCTTGACTTCATAACTTGTTTTATTATTACTGGGGTGTGTGTGTGTGTGTGTGTGTGTGTGTGTCTCCACATGCTGAGTCCGTTTAGTGCTGCTCATGTGTCAAGTGTTTGTCAAAGTGTGCTGAATATAGATAGACTATTGTAAATGGAGATTGCTCTTTCGTTTCCCAGCCGCCTAGACCCAAATAATCACACAGAAGCTATATTAATTACAATGCTGTTTGGCCAATAGCTTAGGCATATTCCTAGCTAGCTCTTGCATCTTAAATTAACCCATTTCTATTTATCTATGTATCACCATGAGGCTGTGGCCTACCAGGAACGTTATGGAGTCTTTGTCCTTCAGCAGCTACATGGCATCTCCCTGACTCCACCTTCTTTTCTCCTCTATCTCTGCTTGGATTTCCTGCCTTGCTATGTTCTGCCCTGTCATAGGCCAAAGAAGCTTATTTATTAACAATGGTAATAAAACGTATTTACCGCATACAGAGAGGAATCCCACATCAGACTTTGTTGATTCCACTCTCCCTTGAGGTTTTTTTTCCATTTTTTTTTTCAAATTAATGGACTGGTCCTGAAGACCCTCAAGGGGGTGCTGTCAAAAGCAAGAACCTTGCCAAAGGCCAAAGGCAGCCATGGCATTTACAACTATCCTTTTTCTTTCTGGCAGCTACCACTTAAGCTGTGAAAGTATTAGGAATTCACAGGTGAATTAGGTGACTCTTACATCTTAATTTAACCCATTTCTATTAATTTGTGTATCGCCGTGCGGCAGTGGCAAAGTTTCAGCATGTCTGGCTCTGGCAGCAGCTCCTCGGCATCTCTCTGACTCTGCCTCCTTTCTCCCAGCATGCCATTTAATTTTCCCCACCTACCTAAGTTCTGCCCTATCAGCAGGCCAAGGCAGTTTTTTTTATTCATTAACCAATAAAAACAACACATAGACAGAAGAACCTCCCACACCACATGAGAAGACAAGGTTGTTTCTCATGGCTGGGGAATCAAACATGTGTGAGGCAGGAGGTTCTCTGTGAATTGGAGGCCAGCCTACTGGTCTACAAAAACTAGTTCCAGGACAGGCAACAAAGTGACACAGAGAAACCCTATCTCGAAAAACAAACAAACAAACAAATAAATAAAGTAGAGGTTCTCAACCTAATGTTGAAACTCTTTAATACAGTTCCTCATGTTGTGGTGACCCCTAGTCATAAAATTATTGCATTGCTCCTTCATAACTGTTATGAATTGTAAATATCTGACATGCAGGATATCTGATATGCAGCCCCAAAGGGATCATGAGCTACAGGTTGGGAACGGCTGCTCTAAAGAGACCTACTTTCTTCCATAGCATCAGCAGCCAGCAGATCTTAGCGCTCTTGTGCCGTTTGTCCCTTTCTCCAGCTGGGAAGACCATTCCCTTCAATGTGATAAGTCACCTTCCTACTTCTCACTGGGAAGGAAGGGTCTGTCTCTACTAGAAGACATTTTGGCATATCCACTTCAGTGATGGAAACAGGAACCCAAATTCCATCCTTGTTTCTCAGACACAAGATGACCTGTTCCTGGCTCTAAAAGACGACCTGTGGTGTCCAGATAAACAATTTGTCTCTTTCAAAACCTTCCCCTGCCTTCCTAAAGGAGATCCTTAAAACTTGCAACATCCACAGTGAGCTGACACCTGGATCCAGATCTCCTTCTCCCACCTGTAGGAGCCTAAGCTCATGTGGATTGATACATAGTTCATGAGACCTCCCTCTCCTACCTGTAGTAGCCATGAGCTCATATGGGGAAAGACTGCTGTCTGTCTGTGTCCGAAGTTTTTTGTCACATTGGTGCTTTGGTTTGGACATAGTCTCCTCCCTGAGGGAATCCTCCCTAAAGGTTCACGTATTGGAAACATGGTTCCCAGTGATATGAGAGGTACTGAGGTCACTAGGGGGCCCTGCCACAGAGGGAGTTTATATGGTTCTCTTGAGACCAGTTAGATCTTACAATGGGGCAGATATAAAAGAGCAAAATTGGATTCTGCCTTCCCTCCGGATTTATGTCTGACATCATGGTTCTTGTACCGACTGTCACCATCCTGATACCATTTACCACAAGGTCTCACTTAGAGATTATGGACTCTCCAAATCTTGGACTTTGGCTCCAAAACTATGACCTGGATAGGCGATTCTCTCTCCTTCATAAAGCGTTCAGTCTGAGGTGTTTGTCACAGCAACAGAAAAGCCATAGATTAACCATCGACTGGCACTGAGTCCACCGAGAAGGTAACAGGAAGGAAACTACAGCAAGCATCACAATTCATCCTTGGACAGTATCTTAAGGCAGGGATGCCTTTCCCAGGAATGCAGGGGATGTGAAGAGAAGGGTCGGAGTGAGGGAGTGTCAGAGAGGAACTGGGAAGAACTAACTGCCTACTTAAAATGCCCCCTCTTGGGTGAAACAGGTCCACATGAGGCCCCTTCTAATGTAGAAGGTGAAGAGACGGCTCGGTCGATGGCAAGAACACCTGCTGTGCAAGCCCGAGGACCTGAGTTCAAATCTCCAGACACATAAATAGCGGAGCATGGCTGTATTCAATCTGTAACTCCAGCACTGGGGCATGGGGAGAGGTGGGGGATCCTGGGGGCTTACTGTCCAGCTCTGGG